AAAAACCAGATGCAACAGCAGAAAACCAAACCTATAAGCCACTTATAGGAGGTTCTGGGGCAAGTTAAGGTGGGTTTCAGACAGCAGTGGTCCACCTAGCGCTGCCCTTCCCCGAGTTCCCTCTTCCCTTCTGCTTCCCAACCTCTTCCATGTTCATGCAGGAGCAGAGCAGGGGGGAGCAGTGGCATGAAGGGGTGGTGGGAGCGAGCCCCGTAACTGATACCTCTCCACACTGTGCTGGCAGGCTGGCTCTTGTCATTCCCCAGCAGCTGGTTGTCTTCTTGCTGAAGCTTCTCTGTAAACATAGGCAGAAAAAGCTGTGCTAGATCTCCTTATGATTTTTATGTGAAAGTTTGGGAAAACTTGATTTTTCTCTACTTAGCATAAGTTCGGAATGCGTGCATGTGTTGATTTGGGGTTTGGAGTCTTGAATTATTCACTTAAACTGAATATCTGACAGTTATTTGGGGGTTAATTGAGGGTTTTCATGTTAGGTCCAAATAAAGTCATCTGTTCTCCGTCCCTCTGTAAAAGGAATAAAACCTCAGCTTTGAAGGATTTGCTTTAGCAACTAGATATTAATGGCAATTAATAAAAAAGCCTTTCAAGTTTATTTTAGTTTGTTGGGTTGTTTTTTTTAAGTGTGGAAAATATACACCTTTGTCACTAATCGAGCCCTGTATACGTAAACTGTTGCCTAGTTTTTTACTAGATTGGGACTTCAGAATAATTTTTACAGGCTGCTGTTTAATTTTGCTGGTTTGACCTTTGCTACTGCAACAAGAGAAATAAAAGCCACCTTCTTAAAAACCTGGGTGCCCGAATAGCCTTGTTTGTAAGCATGTTAATGTACGATACCCTTACTATATTACGACAGAGGACCTGCTAGTATTATTAGATCTGGCTGAGGTGCAACGAAGTTGGACCTAAATCAGTCTTGCAGAGTCAGTGTCTGCCTTACTGTGCTCGGCAGCACTTTCTGTTACAGCGTTGAATGTGGGAAAGATCTCCTGTTGCTTACATTAATGGTAGGGTGTTTGTATGCAGAGGTAAACTTGATTGGGGAGGATGGATTTGATTTTATTGTGCTCAAGTTAATAATTTGCAAGCATGGTACCAGTCAATTATTATTTATAGCTTGTTTGTTGTATGGTAGTGAGAACAATTATTGTCACATGCATGACAGTGTTGGGAGAGTGTTTACAACACATGGAGTTAAAGTAGTATTTTTATTACAATTTCATAATATTTGTTTATGGTTAGTTTGAAAGCAGGAGACGTGGGTCTATGTTCATGCTCTGAGCTCCGCATGTGCAAAACTGTGTGTTGGTTTTGATGTTGCTGGTATGGGGAGGTACTAGAAACAGCCTGAAACTTAGAGCCGAACTAGCTGAGGCCAGGGTATGGATAGGTAGTTGGGAGAGAGGATGAACAGCAATGATGGTGAAGCAAGTGTTTTTGACATTTAGCTACACTATTTTACAATAAAGCTAATTCTAGGTCAGATTCTGGTCTTGGGTTTTACAAAAGCTTCCTCAAGCTTATCTAAATTTGTCCCAAGCCACTTGGAATACAAAGTCTCTGAGAAGCTTTTTTTCTAGTGAGCTTGAAACTGCTGAAATGTCGCCATATTTATTGATCTTTATCTAAAAAAAAAAAAAAAAAAAAAGTTCCTAGTTGAAACAACAGGCCGCTGACATAAAAAGCCTGTCTTAGATTGTGCATTTGGCTGGAGGCCAGATAATGAGTTTCTATAGGAGCTTGTTGGCAAGCTTAGGTTTTTGCTTAGGTTAATCTAATGTAACTGTAAGTAATCTGGGAGCCTGGTACACTGAAAACCATTTTTAGACAAAATGATATTATTATTTTTAAATTATAACTGAGCAGATATTTTTATATAACAGCTTCTTGCATTTAAAGCACTTTTAAAAAAATGCCTAGGAACATGATTCTTTACTATTTCCTCTTTTAATGGTCGATGTACTGAATAATACTTTAAAAATATTAACACTGATGACATCTCTTTTTGCTAGCCTCTGTCACAAAATTTAAGCTAACTGTTCAGTGGAGTAATCTGTTAGTGCTTTAAAGAAAGGCTTGTATTTTTAAAAGACCAGGTGGTAACATGCTTAAGGGTATGCACATCCATTTTACTAGTAAAAAATACTGTAAATGTGTTCATGGGTACATCTGTTGGCCATGTTATTCTGTGACCTAGGGCTGAAATACATGTATCATCCTTAGAGGAGGCTGGAGTTTAGGACTTCATGTTCCCAGAGTCCAGCCTAGGTAGTAACACCATTGGGCCTTTTCATTGGCCTTGTGGGTCTTTCATTCTTCGTTGCCTGAAGGCAAAGCCTGAAGAGAAGGGTTGGAGATTGCTCTGTCTCAAGATGTTTTTGTTGCCTCTTGCTTCTTTTGTGTGCTAAGCAAATGTGAATCTTCTCTAAGGGGAAAACTGAATTCAGATCTTGAAACTTCCATTGAAGTGCTCTATATGCCAGGTTACTAAAGAGGTCCAGATCCAGCTCTGGTCTTTGGGGAGTGGTGGATAAATGTGGCTTTAACAGGAGAACGCTGAGGACTCCTGCCTGGTCTTTGGGGAGTGGTGGATAAACATGGCTTTAACAGGAGAACGCTGAGGACTCCTGATTTTGCCCAGGACAGCAATGCTCATCTGTAGCCTTGAGTTAACTGCTCCATCTGTAAGAGGGATGGAGAAGGCTTGGGATACACACTTGTTCTCTGTTGCTGCAGGCTGATGAGCGCCAACTGGAAAAGGGATAGCACTCTACCATCCTTACTATTTCTTCGTATAGCTGTGCCATTAGCAGTGACAGCATGTGTGTCAAACAAACAAGGTTTGGGTTACAACTGCTTTGCTGTAGGTCTGACTTACATGGTATGCAAAACTAGTTGAACATAGATGGAGATCTTTGAGATGGGAGGGAGCGTGATACAATTGTGCTGGTGCTTATCGGAGGTTTAAACTTCCCTGATAGCGTTTGTTCTCTAGTTACTATTAATAGTAGGGCCTGGAGATATTTCTGGGTGTGATAACTGACAAGTTTCTTCATCAAATAGTCAATGAATGAGCAAGAAGTGTTTCTATTTTAAACTTAGCTTTGAGAAGTAATAGAACGTCAAAGAAAAGCTGTTCATAGAGAATAACCTTTGTGTGAGTTACCGCAAGTGATTCTCTTTAAGTGAAATATTAAATACAGGGCTGCAACTTTAAGCATCTCTGATAAAGGAAGAGTTTTGTGGGGTGTTTTTGCCAGCTGCACTATAGGGGATTTGTATTAGTTTCAAACTTCTGTGTTTAAGCGAAGGGTGCTAATAAACCTTGGCAGAGATGCAAACTAAGGCAGATTTTGAAGGGAACGATCTGGTTTGAACTTGGTGTGAGTAGTCATTGCCAAAGTGTTAGGGTAAGCGGAGAATTCACAGGGAAAGGTGGAGAGCTCTGTTAAAAAGAGGTTTGTGTTAGGAGGTGAGAATTGCCTCAAGTGCAAAGGCTGTGGGAGTCAGTAGCAAAAGGCTCTTGTCTTGCTCCTTATTTATACACCTGAAGTGACGCATGTCTAAATCTGCCTTTTGCTTTCTCATGTCGCACCAGGGCCTGGGGTGATGTGCCATGAAGCCAAGTATGTTTTTTAATGAAGAGAGGGCAATGCTGACCATAGGGGGAAAAAGGATAGTAACAGTATCAAGTGCTTCAAAATACATCTTTACCACTCCAGAAGTCCATTTGGGAGAGCGTTGCAGCACACTCCGAATGGAACATTCTGAGCTGAGGAACAGAGTTTGTAGGAGAGAAAATTGTGTGTGGTTTGTTATAAACTGCCAGAGCAGTAGCTTGCTGGGGTGGCAGGACCAAGGAACTAACTTCCCCCCCCCACCCCCCACGCCCCGCCAAAAGATGGAGCCTTGGGACCTTTTGGTACAGTGTGAGATACATGTAGAGCATTGAATTGGACTGATTCAGCAGGTCTGGTTTAAACCAGAACTTATATGATACAGTGTCTTGGACAACTACCATTACAATGAGTTTACATACATTAATTAAGCTTTCTTCTATTGTCTTTTAAAAGCAAAATGCTTCTCCCAGTATGATTTATGATTTATAATTTAAGTATTGCTCGTGTCAAATACTGTCTCTGGAAATGAAATGCTCTGGGCATTTCTTGTTGCTTCAGATGCTGTGGCACCTGGATGTTCAAAAATATTGGCTGCACTGTTTCTCTTACAGTAAAGTTTTAGTCATGCTAGTTTTAAAAAATGTGGAAGCATCATTAAAAAAGGTATTCTTCTTTGCGTCTCAAAGGGAGTAATAGAAATCTAGCAAAAGGTATAAAAGATTGTCAGTAGTGGTAATTTTAAGGATCTTGGCAGTGCATTGGAATGTGGTTTATGGTTGATTTCAATAATCTCTAGTTTTTGTTGGGATCTTCTGCGTTGATCTGTCTGGTGGCTTTCTTCATTAAACCCTTGGTACTTTCTGTTTTCTTAACCTGAAGTAGTAGGGAGATGTGATAACCTCACTACTCCTTTGCTCCAGTTTTCCTGGGAATTTAAAAATTGATTGTGAAGCTTAGTGGATTTTCATGTCTTTCATTAGAAGTATCAGCAAGTTGAAGGATGTGGACTTACCAGCTAAACTTGATTTTGTTTCAAGTAACCTGTTAGGAACTGACTTCCTAGTCTTTCTGGGGAGTGCAGGTTGTTAGTTTGTGCCCATTCTGACTTCCTTTAAAAATAGCCATGAGAAAGAGGCCGTAATAGTGTGGGAAGATGGTAAATCATCAACTACTGAAAAACAAACTATGCATCTTTTACATGTGGAAAAAAAGCCTGTTAAAAAGCTAAGCTGCAGCATGTTTTTCCTCCAGTGGCAGGAGGGCCTTTGAAAGATTGTTAGTAGTAGTTAGCGATTAGAATGCATGTATTTAGGTTTATTGCAAGCTTTCTAAATACTCTTGATGTCTTTTTTCTTGCAGAGACTCCAACCGTCATGTTAAGGTAAAGCAGAAAAGTGCAGTGCTGAACATGCTAAAGAAGTTGGACAAAATAAGGTTCAGAGGTCACAAGAGAGATGAGTTCCTTGATTTAGCAGAGTCTCCAAATGCTTCAGACACTGAATGTGGAGATGAAATCCCGGTGAAAATACCTCGAACGTCAACTCGAGACAATGAAGAGCTGAGAGACCCTGTAAGTACTTGGTTAAAGTGTCGTTATGTTATACAGTTGTCAGGCAGAAAAATAACAGAAATTAATAATTCTTTGTCCCTATATTTTGGATTTAACACTTGAAGATTTGTGGACTAGAAAGTAAGCTTTTGATAATAGGCTTCCCTTTTGTGGAAAGATCAAATTAATTTCTTAGTATTAGGTTTCCCTGTCCCTACTATTGATTTTAGATGTTGTGTGTCCACAGGTTTGTTAATATTGGATGTGCTTCTGAATGCTGTCTGGTTTTTGTTTTGTGGAATTACTAATGAATGGATCTGAAGGAAAAACTTATTTTCAGTCTGAGCAGCTCAGATCTGCTCAAATGGCACTGGCCAGGACTGTGGGGATAAGACTTCTGGTGGCTTCATTAAAGTTAGAGGGTCACACCACCTTGTTCTTCACAGCACTGTTTGTATCCAGTAATGTATCTATGCTTATAGAGCTGGTTTAAACCTATGCAAGAGGTGAGCAAGACTCTTCAGGTGCTAAAACTTTTGGTGCTTGTAAGCAGAAGCACTCAAACAGACCTACCTTTTAAAAAGACATTGTTTCAGGAAAAGTTAAATATTGGGTTAAAAAATAAATAAATCCTGCTTTAACTGTTACACATGGCTGGGGATCCTTGAGCTTGGAGTGCTACAGTCTAAATTATGTGACTTGGAAGTCAGAATTTGTGCCACTGACTTTGGAAACTCACTGTGCAGTTTTTATCCCCAAAATGTGGTCAGGCTGTTTCTGAAACCTCATTTTTAGAAGCACAGGGCTTGCTCACCACAAGTGTTAAATGAAAAGACTTCAAACTGTATATGCTTAAGCATCTCCTTTGGGGTTGGCAGCTTGTATCCTGTTCTGTAGCTATTAGATTTTTTTAATTTAAGTGGGCTTGTATGCTATCACATACAGTCCTGCTTGAATCATAGAATGGAACTCTTTTGCTGGAATTTTTTTCCTATGATCATGGAACAAACAAGTGGTAATGACAGAGCATTTTTCAGTCATAAAAAGTCTATTGTATGCAAATTCTCAAGCTCCTCAGACAAGGAAGGTCTGTTGAATGCCTTTCCTTTGCTCCTATTCTGCTGAAGACATCTGTCATTTGTTAAGACTTACGTATTGTGTATACTGGGACTAATCTGTGCTGCTGCCCTTCCAACATGGTATTTTCAGAGTTTTTTGTAGGTAAATACTGGCTTATTTTCTTTAAACTTAACGTAGTATACTTATGTGTGGAGAGCTGGGAATACCCTTTGTATCTAATCAGAAGGATCTGGATGGCAGAGCTAGAGACTACAGAAAGATCTGTCTTAAACCCTAGATACTATTTTCTGTATTTCTGCAGGAGGATAATAGCTCCAGGATGGTATGGCTGAGGGAATAGCGAGGTAAATCTACAGTTTTGGCTATTTATGAAGCCTTATGGCTACACATCTGTGATGATGGTCTCTGTTTTCTCAAATTGTTGAGCTCTGTGTGCTGAGAAAGTAATTTGAAGAGAAATACTCTGCTTTCTGGCTGGTTATGCACTGTTAAGTAGGCTGTCGTGATCCAAGTCCTTGTAATACAGTTGAGTGTAGTTCTTTAAAAACAGGGAGAAAGGGAGGGAGGAAAGCAGCAACAGCATCAGACTTGTTTTGCTCTGCCTCTGATATTTGGGAGCTCCAAACCCAGACTGATGCTGGAACAGCCTCAGAGCAGCAGCTGTGTTAAAGATATGAGCAAAATAAGCAAACTTGTATGAGGAAATAGGTCTGACGTATAAGGGATAAATTTCAGATGGGAAGTTTGGGGGATTAGCTCTTGGCCCTCACAGACATCTGCCTGCTAAGCGCTGCTGCCCATCCATAAAATGAAGGGAGAAGAAATAATCCCCTGTGCTGGAGAGGTGCTGGTAGTAAAGAAAGTAATGCTTGTGTATTTAAGTCAGCATTAAAATAGTGGCTGAGATTGTGTGAACAGGGTGATTTTGAATTATCTCTCCTGTTTCTTATTGAGATCATATGGTTGAATTGTGCCTGAATTGTTTTTAATTCAGTGACTAAAACTCTAATCTTAAATGACTTATATAGGGTGGGGTTTTTTTATGGGCTTTGTAAGCAACTTAGCATTATACTTGCATTACACTGATCACGAGAAGACCAAGTCTTGTTGGTTTCTTCCTGTTTAATACCTTTGGAAGCTGTTGAAAGCATGCAAAAGTCAATGTGCTTCTTGTGCGTGAATTGAAGTTAGTCTGTGTGGCTTTTCAGATGGATGTGAGCTGTACTGTGCTTCCGCTTCTGTTACTTCACTGTTTCTATTAAAATCTGAGTACAGAACTCCTGGGCTTGAAAGATCAAGATTGGTGGCTTGGAACTGAGCATAGTCATGCAGAATTTGAGTCCTGGCCCCCTTATCTGCATCTGCAATATGTAGATGTCTCTGACTCCACTGTCAGCCATTCACTTGACAAAGGCTTCTTCTCTGCCCCTCTCTCCTTCTCCCCCCCCGCCTTTGTGGTGTATTAATCATTACAGAGCCATTAAAGAAAGATCTCTGTCTATCAGAACAGTACAGCACAGTCATATGAATGAAAGGCCCTTCTGTACTGTGCCTCCAGGGTAAGTAATGCACTTAGAAATGTGTTAGGTGCCTCTTCTTTATGTATGTGTCTGAACTTGACAAGCGTATGCAAAGATTTGCCACAAATGGAGATTTTTTAGAGTAAAAAGCCTTGTCATAAAAGTCTGTGATTGCAGAGCCCTGACCATCTGCAAAGAGCATCCTGTGTTGCACACCTCCAACAAGTGAAGTGAACGTTCAGTCCTGGGCTGCAGATACAGCAGTGGGACTTAGTCCCAACACTTCACATGTTTTACTGAAGCAGGACATGCAAAATTTATACCTCATGGAAGGACAAAGTATGGGCAGATGAGGTTGTTGTGTATTCTGTATCTTAAAACTGTGAGCTTTACGTATTTAGTTCAATAATAAATGTCCTAACTTGTGTTTGGGTGAAGCACACAGCTAGCTCCTGGTAGAAGAGCCCTGAGGTTGGAAGGATTTGTTATTTTCCTTTGAATTCTCCTCAGTGGTTTCTGAGACTTTTTGTTCAAAAGGTGTCTTAGTCTTAATTTGAGCTAGTTTGGTCTCAACTTGCAGGCTGGCTGTTTGTGTGGGTATTTTTCCCTCCCCCTCTCATTTAAGTGCCCTGACTACCAGGTATGTCTTGGATAGCAGGTACTTTCTTAGGTCTCTGTGTGTGCTTGGACACTGTGATAATCAAATCATTGCCAAGACAGCTGTGTTGGTTAACAAACTCTTTGCTAAGCATCTCTTTCAATTCCTGAACGGCTTACTAGATTTCTTCTTCCCTTTCCTGTTTACCATAGGTGGTTGACTGTTGTTTTTTTTTTTTTAAAAGCAAGGGCATTCAGCACTGTATGCAGCACTGTTATTTCTACGTTGTTTTGTAAAAACACCACAATCACGAAATAGGTAGAGGGGGTAACCTGGTCCATTCCTATTTCCTAATAGTGAACTTACTAGGATTTGTCTTTTTGTGACATCGGAAGCTCAGGTAATGTTGCTCGCTTGGTAATTAAAGTCCCCTTTATTCAGTGCCATCACGGTTTCCTATTCTGTAGATGCAACATGGGTTCCTTCCTGCTAGATCGCAATCCTGCACCTAAAAAAAGCTTTACAACACTGCTATGGCAGTTTGATTTGCTAAGATGCAAGTGTTCAGGGAGGGGGACTGTGCCCTGAAAATCATAGATCACCCTGGTATTTGCCAGTTCTGGCTTAAATTGCCTCATTTTAACTTATGTCTCATCATTTTGTGCTATAGATGAATTTATGTACTCTTAATGTGACAAATGTCCCGTTTTTATAAAAGGAAGAAAATGTTCAGTACTATGTAAAGGCATATAGATGAACTCAGAGCAGAGGAATATCATGTCCCTTTCGGCAGAGAAGGGAAAAGAACGAATTTGTGTTTAAACCTGTGGAGGTTCTGCACTAACCTGGCAGTGAGCATTGCGAGTTGAAGCACTGTCATACCTGGAACACTGTGCTGAAACCCGTCTAATCTACTTATGCAAGCTCCCTGCCAGTGTGCTAGGATTAAATCTGAGTTATTGTGATACAGAAAACATTAATTTAATTGCTGTTCCATTACAGTTTGGCTTTTCCTGAAACATGTCAATTAAAACCTTAAACACTTCTATATCGGTCCCCTCATTTACAATGATTGGAAGGTGTAAAGCATGATGCAAACATTCCAGTTAAGATATTAAAGTCTCTAAACCTGGCTAGGACTAGATTTTTCTTAAAATCTGTGTAAAATGTATCTGTATTTTAGGAGCTTGCCAATATGGGTATGCTTCCCAGAATTGCTACTAAGGATTAACTAACTATTCATGCAGATGCTTTCGTTCTTGAGCAGTGTTGTTGGGTTTCCCCTTCCTTACAGCAGGTAAACACAACAGCCACGGGGAAGCCTTTTATAATTTGAAGTAAGAAAATGCACATGAAGTGTCAGTTGAGAAACGCAGGAGACTGACCTCTCTAAGCAAGCTCTGTAGTTTTCTGTGATTCTTCAGTAGTACAACATGGTTTGGGTTGGAAGGGACCTTAAAGGTCATCTGGTCTGACCCCCCTGCCATGAGCAGAGACATCTTCAACTAGATCGCGTTGCTCAGACCTTAATCCAACCTGACCCTGAATGTTTCCAGGGATGGGGCATCTACCACATCTCTGGGCAACCTGTTCCAATGTTTTACCACCCTCATTGTAAAAAAAATTCTTCCTTCGATCTAGTCTGAATCTACCTTCTTTTAGTTTAAAACCATTACCCCTTGTCCTACTGCTAGAGGCCGTACTTGACTTTTTTTTTTTTTTTTTTCCTGCCTTTGCTGCTCAAATGAATGTATGTTAAACCCTCTTCCCTGTGCAGTGTCCCGGCCACTGCCAGGCCCTGAAGAGTGACTGGATAGTTATGTCCCTGGGCTTGGGACACCATGCCCTCACTGCTATCCATCCTCAGTGTTGGAGAACTGCTCCCCTTTTATTAAATAAAAACTTAGGAATGAGACCACCATTTTGTTAGATATTCCTAGAGAAAAATAATTTGTGTATGATGTTGTGCAAGTAAAATAAAAAGAGGGAGTTGGCCAGTTAATTTGTGTATCATGCTGAAGATGTATTGTGCTGCAGATGGAGAGGACAGATCTGTATCTGCTCAGTTAAGAAGTGACTTAGACCTTTCCTGTGGCTGTATAGTGAAGGTGATGTTGGTGCTCAGTGCACAAAACAAAATCCCGGGGCTCGCAGGATGAAGGGGGTTTGGGGAGGGAAGGCAGAGAGCTCTCAGGTTGGGAGGTGCTGTTATGAAAAGCCTGAACTGCAAATGGCTTGGAAAAAAAAATTGTGAGTAGATATTTTTCAGATCCGGAGCTGGATGTGGCTTGGATCAGCAACTCTGAACTCTGATAGTGGGTTAGAGGCAATTTGTCATCATCAGAAATCTTCCTTTAACCCCTCTGGCTCTGACTCTCCGTGCTCAACTCTGGCATTTTGCTGGCTTCCTAAGCACCACCAAGCCTTGTGCCGTGGTCTTTGCTAAGTAGCAGTGATTGCCAACATTTTAAGAGGGCTCCTGTGTCAAATACTGTCAAAGCTAGAGAGGCAGAAGGAAAAGCAGAAATCTGTGGAAGGCTTCAAGGCTTTTACTGTGAGTCAGAAGCAAGAAAAGGCATCTGTAGTTAAGTTAAAAGTGTAGTTAATCCAGCCCGAGTCCCAGAACTAGCCTGCAGAGGCAACAGAAGAAAGAAAAATTACCCAGTTAACTCTGGAATTAATACAAGATAATTTTTTTGTTAACTTGTGAGTTGAGTCAGTTATGCTGACTTCAGATGGAGGTACTTTTTGAATTCAAGGGCACACAGTTGACCTCCAGCAAATGTATAGACCTTATTTCTTATATTTTTAGCCTGGAGCACCTCCTCCCCCTCCTTCTGCACTGACCTTGGTGTCTGCAAAGCTGCTCCTCTCACGTCTTCTCAGTCCTCTCTCGGGCTGCAACTGCTCTTGGTATTTCCCCCCCACTTCTTAACTCTCTTATCCCAGAGGCGCTACCACCATTGCTGATGGGCTCGGCCTTGGTCAGCAGCAGGTCCATCCTGGAGCTGGGTGGCATTGGCTCTGTTGGACATGGGGAAAGCTTGGGAAAAGCTCCTAGCAGCTTCTCACAGAAGCCATCCTTGTAGCCCCCTCGCTACCAAAACCTTGCCACACAAACCCAATACATGTGCAGAGCCCGGGAGCATTCCTAAGCCGTGGCACTGTTTCTTTAGACAGCTCCATATGATCTCCTGCATGCTAGGAGCAGAGATTGTCCTTTGGTACCAGATGTGGATATACAATATAGAAAGCCATGATTTAATGCCTGGGCAGTGATCTGTATTTTAATAACCTTTCCTTTTGCCTGTCTTTAGAGAGTGTTGTAAGGGTGCTGCTGTTCGACTTCAGCCACACCTTCCTCCTTGGGGCTCTCCAAGTGTCTGGCAAGTGATAACACTTAATCTTCTGGTGTAAATAAATACGACCTAGCTGTATGGATAAGAAATCAACACAGAGGTTAATTGCAATTCCATGCTCCTCTGAAAACAGGCAGCTGTTACTCTTCAGCAGTGGCAGGAGCGGTTGCAAATGGCACGTCTTACTGCACCTCTCTGTCTAAAGGCAGGTGTGAATGGGACACGTGGAGCATGGGGAGGAGGACGCTGTGCTGCAGCTTCCCATGTGACGACTGCCCTGGCCTCTGTACGTCTCCGCTATGGCATGGTTTGTGCTGGCTCCAAAATGGGAAGTAGCACAGGGCTGCTGCTAAGCTAAGGGCTTTTGCTTCTCATCGGAGCCAGCAGCGTTGGCAGAGTGCTGTGTGGGTGTGTGTTGCTTTTGGGACTGGAAATAGCATCTCTGCTTGGCACTGTGTTGAGCAAGCCCAGGTGGGGAGTTGGTGCTAGGTAAATGCCGTGCAGTATATGCCTGTAGAGTGCTAATTTGCCTGTATAGACAAATTCTGAGGCTTAAACTCAGCATCTGTTCAGCTCAAGCAAGAAAACAGATGTTTAATAGGTATCTCCACACTGTTTTATCTTAAAAGTGCAAATCATTCCCAACAGTGAAAGTACTTTGCTGTCAGTGAGCTTTCTGCACATCTTTCCTAAAACATAGAAGATATCTTTTAATTAACTCTCTTGTAGATTAGTTGATTTCATATATGTCTATAATTTAAGGTGTCATAATTAAATGTATGCAAGCTGACTTTGGAAAGCAATACAGTTCCTATATGTTTTCTGGGCTTGAACAAGGGGTGGGGGAGTGCTTAGGATAGATAAATAAATCCCTTTCTGTCTTGAGATCATTTCTTAGATGTGGGCTTCTGTAATCGGTTTTGAGTATAAGCTGTTGGAGAAGCTCCTGTAACTCTCATTGACAGACGTTTTGTACCTGGTGGGTACTGCACACAGTGCCTGAACAAGCATTATCCAGGAGACGCCCTCACCCATCCTTTCCCCTGTTGTCTGAAAATGCCCACTTTGAGAGAAAGGCAGCATCTCCTGCCTTCTGCTGTGTGGGCTTGGGGTTTTTCTGGGCTCACTTTGTGGAGGTGGTAGGTTGTCACTGCTCGTCCTAACTAATCAAATTGCTTTTCAATTCCTACGTTCTGCAGTATTTCCAGTGCTGGGTTCATTCAAGGGGTGCTGGTAAATCTGCCGAGACACACAATCCCCTGACTCCCATTTCTGCTGGCCTGCCAGGAGGAGCTTCTGGGCACCAGCGACACCCTTCAGCAGTAACTGCGATGAGCTGGAGGTGGGGGAGCGGGGGAACCCCTTCCTTGCAGAATTACGTATTCCACAAATGGATATTAGAATATACCATATGTGTTTTCTAGTAGCTCAATAAATATCTAGAAAAGTGTAATTTTTGCTAGCTTCACAATTTTATATGTAAAGTATGTTGCATTGATTGTTCATTTAATAGGAAGAGGAGAGGGATAGTATGAATATGCCTTTTAAATCAGCAGAAGAAAGGCTAACTGATGATGCAGCAGAACTGGTAAGGGGGGGAAAATATATTTGTTTTCTGTAGTTCCCTGAGGTCTGCAGAACTGCATTTTGTAAACTCACATGGGAGAGATGCTGTGCATTTGATTAGTTTTCACTCATTTGTTTTGGTAATTTAATGCTGAATAAGAGGCATGCGGAGTTGTTGATACTTGCATGTTTCTCATGTGGCTGTTTCTTTACTGCCCCAGAAGTAAGTTGATGTATTTAAATGACAGGTGAAAAAAAAAAAAGTGCCTCTGAGCTGTCAGTGTGTTCTGGCTTTCTTATAGGCTGGTCCAGGGACCATCATCATGGCTTCAGGAGTCCAGGATTTTAACAGAACGGAGTCTGACAGACTGAATGAGATCAAAGGTCACCTGGAAATAGCCTTACTGGAAAAACACTTTTTACGTAAGTATAACATCAATGGTCTGTGGAAAGGAATGGCTTAAGCCTGCTGAAATAAGACTTCTCTAAACTGCAAAAGTTGGCATCAGAATTTTGAGATGCGCTGATGCACGGATAGCATGTGGGCTGATGCTTCCCTAGGAGGAACTTAAAAGCATTCCCAGGGTTTCTGGGTCACTTTGGTATTTTTTCCCTCATTGCATTCCTCACAATGTACCTTACACAAAAGCTGTTTAGTTGAAGTCTTGATGATGACATCTGCAGGTTATCTTAGAATTAACCCCACCTTAATGTGGTTGCAATAGGTTGATTTTGTCTAGTAGTAATTGTAGAGAAGAGATTTCTGAAGGGGTGAATGATACAGTTCCTTGGCAGCTGTTTCAACAAGTAATATGTCTTAAAACACATGTATCTTAACAGTGTATGAATTACTGGTAAGTAGTGTAAGAAATAAAGGTAAGAGTATCTTACTTGTTTGAGTTTGTGCATCTGTGTATGTGTGTGTATATGAGACAAAACTGTCATTTGTGGCACCCATAAGACTTTTGGGATTTTTTTCTCAGCAGATCTGAACTGCTGACCTGTAAGACAGGGTAGTTAAAATGAGAAAAATGGAAGATAAGCATTCCTTTACCTTGGTAGAAGTAGAGATCTCTGTAATAAATCAACGAGAGTTGTGGCTCAGTTGCTTCCCAAAATGGTCATTTTAATGGATTGTTTTTGAACCTCAGAATATGAAGGTTGTTTTGATATGTTCAGAGCTTGTCAGATACTTTCTAAGGGGTAGAAATAACAAGGCTATCGATTCTACTCAATTTCTAGATGATAATCTAACAACAAGACTTGTGGTTTACCTTCAGAATATTCTCAAGGATTTGGAATTAATTTTCTGTGACTTGTTTATCATTTGGCAATATTTCTTTGATATTTTTCCCCGTGTGTATGAGAGGGAGGCCTGATAAAGGAGACTGGGCAGGAATTTATAGTGAGCTGCTATCAGCTTCCAGTGATATCTGGAAGAGGTATCATGATTGGAATATCAAGCGAAAACTGAAAGCTCTGTTTGACTTGCCTTGCTGGTTTCAGTGATTTATTTGAACTCTTATTTAACTGTGCAGTGCAGAGTTACCACATACTCCTTCCATCCACAAAGACATACTGCTTAAGCTCCAGTTACCAACTGTTTTTTAAACTAGGTGAGACGTTTGTGATTTCCTGATGTAATCTGATGTATAACAGAAACAGTAGGACTTCCCAGAACTGATTTCTGGTTTGAACTAGGATGTGCTTTTTGCTATAAAACCATGATATACTTCCTAAACACTTCCATGGCTGGTGAATCCATTCTCAGTCCTTAGAACGTGCTTACAGTATCTACATGGGGCACACATTTTTGTGAATATTTGTGAATATTTTTAGGCATCAGGTTCTTGCTGTAGTTTTAAAACCTTCTGATCAACTATTTTACCACTCTTAGCTGAATCTTTTTCCTTTGCACAGACCTTTGTACAAACCCCAAGGTAAAGGGTAATGAAGCTCACCCTTCCAGGTAAACTTTGAGCAGATGGTTGGACGTTCAGGCCAACGGGGCAGTTCAGCTGAGTGGCGTGGGTCAGTCCTGGGTGTCTCCAGCCCTTTCCACTAGGTCAAGAGCTCTTCACCAAAGTGAGGTTTGCTGTAGCTGCAATTACAGTGTTGTATTGGCAAATTGGTTGTAACTCTGTATGTAAAACAAGAGAAAGAATGATGAACTAGTAGAGAAATAAGCGCAGTAAAGCTTGTCTCTTATTCCTCTACAATACCCCATTCAAAATTTTGGGCTGAAATATATAACTGTGTATGTCAGTTGGAGTGAAGTAGGAGCTCACTTTTTGGATATGGTTCCTGCATTCTTCTATTTTCTTCCTTCTTTTTGAGTTAATGTTGTTTTGGGTATTTTTTTAATACTAGAAATGCTTTGTTGTTGTTTTTCTTCCCAGAAGTGAACTGATGGTGAGCAGAAAAACATTCCTGAAATGTACAGTTTGTTTACTTTAATTTACTGTTGGAAGAAAGCCTGATCATTGTTTTTTTAAAATCCTGTTGCTGCAGTAGGTGTGTTTTAAGAAGGCTAGTCACTCAGCTGTATTTGCATACTATTTTTAATTACAGAATTCCTTAAGGACACCTTGCTGTAATTGTATTTTTACATAAATAGTTTGCCCCTTCATCTTAGTCTATTTCTTCCAGCTAGGTGTGCAAAAATCAAAGTAACTGCTAGTATGTGGGGGAAATATTTAAAGTTCCCTGGATTTGCTTTTTAATGTGTTGGGTTTCTATTCTCTATTAGCCTGATCCTGTAAGTTTATTTTTGCCTCTTCTGTACCTGTTATTTCTATAGGTGTGTGGTTAGCCAGGAGGTTTACAGAGCAGAGATTTCCTCCCAGCTATATGTTGTGTATAATGTACACATACGCACCACAGCTACAAGTCAGTGTGGTTTTGTAGTTGCAAGTGCCTGGCTAAAGGAAGAGCAAACTGCCAGTCTGCTTTAAACTCCATTCAGCCATCAGTAGGCACAAGTAAAAGGTGCAGTTTGGCTCAGTAGTATTTTCAGCAAAACACATCGTGAACCTAACTAGCCTCTACAAGCTGCAGAGGAAAGCTGGAGCAAATAGTTGCTGGAGACACAGTTGTCTGTAAAGGGAAGGCATCTTCATCTAGGATGCCAGATGAATCTCTTCTTTAGCAAAGAGATAATCTAAACATCTGAAGAGGTGATGATGGAGAGGAATTGCTTAGCGTGTTGCATAGCTGTAAATGCAAATAAAATGTGACTGGAAATGCGAGAGGTTTAAGCTGTAGACTGACAGGAGGATGAGGCACAGCAGAAGAAGGGATCTTGGATAATGACGTCTTAAGGGAGGGATCATCTGACTCTTCCAGCTGAAAGGGCTAAAGTTGCTTTTCTTGTCTGTGCGGGAATGGTCTTAATCTCTGTAATCTAATGGCTTCTCCTGAGCCTTAGTACAGGAATGCTGAAAACATTCAATGCATGTTGGGTCTGGCAAGACTGCTGTATCAGGGTGGGCTCCTGCAGAACAAGGCTCAGATGCCAGCTGAACGAAAAGTGCAAAAACTTAGTTTACTGGACCTCTGAGTATGCGTGGGTGGAAAAAGCTTTGTCTTGGAGTTGTTGCCATCAGAATCATCCATTTCTAAAGGACTCTGTGTATTTCTATAAGCTTGTTTTTAATACATGTGAACACTGCCTTGGTGCTAGCTGAGGGTTCAGATTTGGAAGAAAACTACTGAACTGGGGCAGCTAGATTGATATGCTAAGGTTAGTAGTGGTTTTAGTGCTTCCATTTCAAAACCTAGTTGTATCTAAACAAGAAATGAAAACGTGCTTGCTGCTCTTGCATTTGAAAGACAAAATAATAGGTAATATCCTTCTGGGTTTGCACCTCCTTTAGGTAAACATTCTACTTTTCTTTGTGTTACGGTCTGTGCCTGCTTATGGAAGGCACTTTTGCAGGTGTCATCACTCTGGTTCTTGTGCTATGAGGTGCTTTGTAAGCACACGTGCATCCTGTGGTTTACCTGAAGTATTAGCTAATTCTCATTCAAGGATATTCAACCTTTTGCAGTCTTAATTTTAGCAGCTCCGGGAAGAGGAGGTGGTGTAGCAGCAGCTAAAAGTAAACAAACCAGGTGACTGTTAGGGAAGAGGGTTAGTCATGAATTGGTAAATCGAAGAAATGCCATGTGAGGATGAAGAGCTTTAGGAGGAAATAAAGTCCTCTCCCACAAGGGTTTTCATTCCACTCTGTACAGCAGGCTGTGGCAGGAGTCTCTATGGGCTTATAAAACTGCTGGTTTCAGTTACTGTTTTTATACCAACATTACAAAAGAAATCGGGATTATGCTTCTTCCCCATTGAAATTTCTGCTTCCCCACACTTCCTTCTCATGTGCCTTTTTAAACCTTGTTATGTGACTAACTCCACAGTGTTCTCTCTGGCTTCTGCTTTTTGGTATAAATGACCCAATGATTCTTTGTAAGAAGAGCTACCTAGCAGAATGTAGATCTCACGAAGGTAGAAGCTCTAGAAAACCATACGTGGTCCTTGGGCAGATCTGGGATGTTAGAACGTGGTGAACCTTAGAGGCGAAGCGTGGTACGTGGTGGTTGTGACCAGTGAAAGACCTGTACTACAAGTCCTGTTCTGTACAGAAATGCTAATGCCTGCTTAAACAGCCGTAGTAATTGTATATAACAAATTGACTATGAAGCTGAGTCACAGTCCAATTACCAACTGTGTCAGAACACCCTTGCTGTAAGGGTCAAACATCTGCTGCGGTGGCAGAGCTAGACAAGAGCAGAGGAATAGTTTCACTGCATTGGTTTTGCTGTCATCTTAGTGACCTGGCAGCCTGTAGTCACCTTTGGTTCAGAAATCTTGAACCAGAATAAAGAGTTGATTTGTGTAGCAGGTGAAGACCCTGGTAAGAGAGTAAGTAGCTGCTATGTTCATCTGAGGCACTCAAAAACTAGCTGTGGGTATAGTAGCCATTCCTCACTAGATGGTCCACCCTGGCCAAGGGATCTTGATGCTGCAGAACGGCCTCCTAAAGTGTGCTGATGCTGGTGAGCACCGAGGCTGCTGTGGCAGTGGAGCTTACCCCGGGCTTTTCCCACCCTTCACTCCTTCCCCTAAGCCTCCTTTCTTTCAGCTTAAAATCCTGGACTCCCAGATGCTAACAGGGTGTTCCTGGGAGATCTGCATGTGTGTCTCACCCTTGTGGAGTTCCTCTGATGAGGAATGTGATTTAAGTATGGCGACTGGTGGGAATCCTCTTGAATCTCTTCCAGAGAAGCCGCAGGAAAAAGACATAAGTCCAGGCTTTGCTGTAGAGCTGTCTGTTCACCAGAGTCACTCTCATTTGCTTTGTACTAACAAATTTGTACAGAAGTTTTTCTAGGTCTGACTTCTGATTGAGAGACTTCTCAAAAAATCTAGG